CACGGATAAGGGTCTCATTATACTCAACAAGCGTTTCAGTGAAGCACTCCCATTTTCTTTGTTTTATGTTCTCCCATATGTGGGGGTAACCCGTTCAAGCTCAATTGCTTCTCGGCCAGGATCTTCCGTTTGGTGAGCTCTTCTCTATACAGTGCCCTGGACCCATCATCCCCAAACCGGAGTTGGAAGTCGTCTCCGCTTTTCCTTCTTGCCTCAGCTTGTAGATGAACTGAGGGCAAGATCTCCTCCTCATCAGACTGGGAGGGATGTTGAACATTAGGGTCCGTTCGTCGTCGTTTTACTTGTGACGTGCGACGACTGGAGGATGCCCTTTTCTTGTCGGAGGCTGAATATTTCATGGGAGCCATATCTACACAAAAGTGGAATGTGAGCGACATTGTAGGCAACAGTGAAAAGAAGACAGAAAAATTCAAGAAAAAGTTGAAGATGCGATAGGTTATGCGGTCGCATAACCACTATGTGGACCGCAAACCTGTTGCAAACTTGACATTCACTACTTGATCTCAGTCTGCGATGGGTTATGCGATCGCATAACCACTATGCGGACCGCATAATCATCGCAGACCTGATTGCTAAAGAAAACTAAATCACAAAATGCAATCGCAAATCCCACCGCAAAGTGGAAAATACGATCGCAAAACAGCCGCAAAAAGAAAGGTTTTAAACTGGGTGTTCTGTTTCAGTATGTGGTGACTTTGCGGTCTGCATATCAATTATGCGATCGCAAACGTCACCGCATTTCATCATCTTCCTCAGCCAACTAGGGTTCAATTATGCGGCGGAAATGCGGACATTTTGATTATGCGAGCCGCAAACTTCATCGTCCCCAACAATTTGATTCAACCCTCAACAATGGCGGTCCTAATTCTTGCTACCCAGCACCCCAAAAATATTTCCTACCTAAAAGACTATCACAATATGGGTAGACAACTACTTACAAACCACAATCAAGAATAAAGAAAGGAAATAGAAAAGAAACACAGAAGAAACCAAAGTGAAATTGAAAATAAAAAAAAATTGGGCAAGGAAACATACCAGTGAAGATGAATAAGCACACTAGGGAGATGAATTCTCAAGTGTTTTCGTCCTTTTGTTTAGATGCCACTAGCCGTTTTTGCCCCTTTTTTCGTTCTTTGTTTGCCCTTTTTTTTCCGTTTTTGCTTTGTTTCTTTCTGTTTAATTTTTTTTTGTTTTGTTTTGAACGTGTGATAGTTGAAAGGATGCGAAGGATATACCTCTATGATCTGCAATGGATAAGTCACCGCATAACACACTATCCGACCGCATAAGTGTTATGCGGAAGGTTCAAGTGAATTGCTGAAGGGCCAAAAATGCGGTGCACTATGCGATCACATAGTGAAAATGCGGTCTGCATAGTGCACCAACTCGTCGAATCTTTACCACCAGATTTTTCCAAACACACTGTGTTAGTTTGCGAGCAAAATGCGGTCCGCATAGTGAATATGCAACTGCATTTGTGCAGCAAACTGTGCAAAGTGATTTTCCTTCCCTTTTTCATGCAATCTTACCCCGTGTTATGATCTTTTGAATCCCCTAAACTCTAACACACACTTTAAATTGGTCAATTAAATCTATCTAATAAACAAATTAAAAACTTAAAGGTCAAAAAGGGTGTTACCACACATGGGTTGCCTCCCATGAAGCGCTTGATTTAACGCCGCGTCACGACGAAGTTGATGTTCCCTTGGATTCATTTTTTGGTCGGGCACGGACCATCTTTGAGAGCCAGCTGCTCTACCAAATGTTTTTCTCCATCTGTGCCCAAGTAATGCTTGACTCGCTGGCCGTTCACTTTGAAGGTTCGGAGCCCATCCTCCGATTCTAGTTCCATAGCTCCAAAAGGAGAGACATTTACCAATTTGAACGGATCGGACCATTTTGATTTGAGCTTGCCCAGGAACAATTTGAGCCTTGAGTTAAAGAGCAAAACCAAGTCACTCGACTTGAACTCCCTCTTCAAGATCTTTTTGTCATGGACGAACTTCATCCTTTCTTTATACACAGCTGCACTTTCATATGCATAGAAACGGAATTCCTCCATTTCATTGAGTTGTGTTAACCTCAAATTTGCAGCTTCAGCCCAATCCAAGTTCAACCTCTTTAGAGCCCACATGGCTTTGTGTTCCAGTTCTACGGGTAGATAACAAGCTTTGCCGAAGACTAACCGATAAGGAGAAATGCCAATAGGAGTTTTGTACGCCGTACGGTATGCCCATAATACGTCATCTAGCTTTCTTGGCCAATCGGTCCTGTTTGCATTGACAGTCTTTGCTAGAATGCTCTTTATCTTCCGGTTGGGAACTTCAACTTGACCACTTGATTGGGGATGATAAGGTGTGGCCATCTTATGCTTGACACCATATTTCTCTAGTAGCCCCGTGAAAGCCTTATGACAAAAATGAGACCCACCATCACTAAGAATGGCTCTAGGAGTGCCAAACCGAGTGAATATGTTTTTCTTTAAGAATGCTGTGACACTTCTTGCCTCGTTGTTTGGTAAGTCAATTGCTTCAACCCATTTGGACACATAGTCCACATCTAGCAAGATGTATTTCATCCCACAAGAGCTTACAAAGGGACCCATAAAATCAATTCTCCACACATCGAAGATTTCTATCTCCATCACAAAGTGCATTGGCATTTCATGCCTCTTGGAGATTGATCCTTGCCTTTGACATTGGTCACAAGCCTTGACCATTTGATTGGCATCATGATAGATTGAAGGCCAATAGTAACCACATTCAAGCACCTTAGCTGCCGTTCGATTTCCTCCATGATGACCCCCAACCGGTGAGTCGTGGCATGCCTTTAGAATTGGCATAATCTCTTCTTCTGGAACACACCTCCTGATGATGTTGTCAGCACAAACACGGAGCAAGAATGGTTCTTCCCAATAGTATTGCGGACAATCTCTCTAAAACTTCTTCTTTTGATAGGATTCCAATCCATCCGGAATAAGGTCACTGACCAAGTAGTTGGCAATATCGGCATACCAAGGAGCAAAAGTGCTAGATAGTGCCAATATGGGTTCATCCGAAAATGCGTCATTGATCTCAAGATCACCCTTTGGCCTCCCTGCCTCTTCAAGCCTTGATAAATGATCCGCTACTTGATTTTGAGTTCCCTTGCGATCCTTGACCTCGAAGTCAAATTCTTGCAACAACAAGACCCATCGAATCAACCGAGGCTTTGCATCCTTCTTTGCCATAAGATAGCGAAGAGCAGCATGATCTGTGTATACTAGCACCTTGGATCCCAACAAATAAGCCCAGAACTTCTCGAAGGCATAAACAATGGCAAGAAGTTCTTGCTCAGTCACTGTGTAATTCATTTGCGCTCCATTGAGTGTCTTACTTGCATAATAGACCGGGTGGAGAACTTTGTTGTGACGTTGGCTAAGAATTGCTCCAATGGCTACACCACTGGTGTCACACATGAGCTCGAAAGGAAGAGACCAATCGGGTGTGAAAATAATAGGTGCCGTGGTGAGCCTTTGTTTCAATTCCTCAAAGGCATTGAGGCATTTTTCGTCAGACACAAATTTGGCATCTTTCTCAAGGAGTTTGCACATAGGATTTGCAATCTTGGAAAAATCCTTGATGAAACGCCTATAGAATCCGGCATGCCCTAAGAAACTTCAAACACCTTTAACGGAAGTAGGTGGAGGAAGCTTGGAAATAATCTCGATCTTAGCCCGGTCAACCACTATGCCATGTTTTGAAATTTTATGCCCCAATACAATGCCTTCATCCACCATGAAATGGCATTTCTCCCAGTTGAGCACAACGTTGGTCTCCTCACATCTCTTAAGCACTTGTCTAAGATTGTTAAGACAATTCTCAAAAAAGTCACATACCACCGAGAAGTCATCCATGAAAACCTCTAGAAAAATCCTCCACCATGTCGGAGATAATGGACATCATGCATCTTTGAAAAGTAGCCGGAGCATTGCACAAACCAAATGGCATCCGGCTAAAGGCAAAAGTTCCATAGGGGCAAGTGAATGTCGTCTTCTCTTGATCCTCCAATGCTATGTTGATTTGGTTGTAGCCGGAATATCCATCAAGGAAACAATAGAATGACCTTCCCGCTAGCCGATCAAGCATTTGATCAATAAAAGGCATAGGGAAATGGTCTTTGCATGTGGCACTGTTGAGCTTCCGATAATCCATACACAACCTCCAACCGGTCACCGTTCTTGTTGGGATGAGCTCATTTTTATCATTTTCAATTACGGTCATGCCTCCCTTTTTCGGCACACATTGCACTGGGCTCACCCAAGAACTATTGGCAATAGGGTAGACTACCCCGGCATCCAACCACTTGATGATTCTTTCTTTACCACCTCTTGCATTGACGGGTTCAATCGTCGTTAATGTTCCACACTTGGTTTCGTCTCACTCTCCAATTGGATCTTGTGTTCACAAATTCCCGCGGGAATCCCTCAGATGTCCGCAATTGTCCATCTAATGGCTTGCCGATGCTCCTTCAAGACTTCCAACAATTGTTCCACCTGCACATCATTCAACAAAGAAGAAACAATTATGGGTAAAGTATCATTAGAGCCAAGAAATTTATACCTCAAGTGTTGTGGAAGTGGTTTGAGCTCTAGTTGTGGTGGCTCGATAATAGAAGGCTTTGCGGGCGGAGTGGCTCTATTCTCCAAATCGAGAGAGAGCTTTGCCGGAGCATAAGTGTAAGATCCAAGCCCCTCCAATGCATTTACCGATTCCATATTCCCTTCCATATCATCACCATCAAAGTTCACCAAAATAGCCACCAATGCCTCGCCGAGGCATTGTTCTTCCATTTTCATTTCAACGGCATCTCTACTTCATCAACAACATCGATCACCGAGATGCTTTTATACTCATGTGGTAGTTTCATACCCTTGCTTGCTTGGAATGTAACCTCTTTATCATTCACACGGAATTTGATCTCATTCCATTCTGAATCCATTAGTGCTCTTCCCGTGGCAAGGAATGGTCTCCCAAAATGATAGGGATCTCTTTGTCAACCGCACAATCAAGGATTACAAAATCGGCGGGTAAATGAAACTTTCCCACCTTCACAAGTACATCATCAACAATTCCCACCGGTCGTTTGATGGAACGATCGGCCATTTGCAATCTCATACTTGTGGGCCTTGGCATACCTAACCCCGCTTGCTTATAGATGACAAGAGGCATTAAGTTGATGCTAGCCCCATTATCACAAACGGCTCTTGCAAAATCACGTTCCCCAATAGTACATGGAATGGTGAAAGCTCCCGGATCTTCTTTCTTTTGAATGGTGGATGTTGCAATGATGGAACTAATCCGGTGAGTCACGTTCACCACTTCATTCTTGGTGGTTCTGTTCTTGGTGATCAAATCTTTCAAATATTTAGCAAAACCTGGTATCTCTTGAAATGCTTCCACAAATGGAATATTCACCGATAATTTCTTGAGAACTTCATAGAATTTTTCGAGTTTTCTATCATCAACCTTCCTAGCGAGTCTTTGAGGGAATGGAGGAGGAGGTCTAGGAATAGGTGGAAGAGTTTTTGGTGTCTCTTTTACCTTTTCCTTTACCTCTTCCCGGTTCTCTTTTTGCACTTGCAAATCTTCCAGAATCTTCTCAACTTCGACAACACTTGGCTCTTCAACCTCAACCCCTTTTTCGGACTCTTCTACCTCAACCACTTGTTCACCCTCTCCTCGTAGTACCTTCCCACTCCGAGTAGTAATTTCCATGACATGAGAAGTTGGGCCACTCCCACTACCCCTTGGGTTCGCAATTGTGTCACTAGGGAATGTTCCCTTTTGCTTTGGATTTTGTTCCCTAGAGAGGTCTCTCATTTGCATCTCCAACTTTTGAATGGATGCGGTATGAGAGCCAACAAGCTCGGTCATGTTCGTCATAGAAGTGTCAGATTTTTCTTGATTTTGCAATACCCGTTCAAGCATACCTTCCAACTTAGATTTACTTGAGGAACCTTGATTTGAATATTGACCCTTTGGAGGAACATAAGGGTTTGAACTCCGGTTTGAGAAGTTGTTGTTGTTCCAACTTCCTTGGTTTGAGCCACCTTGGTCATTTCGCCATTGTTGGTGGCCTTGCCCTTGCGGATTTGGCCTCCATTGATTTTGTTGTCCTTGACCTTGGTATTGTTGTCTTTGATACCCTCCTTGAGGGTTGTTAATGTAGTTTACTTCCTCAAAATCTTCATTTGATATAGCTTGCACATCCTGCACCATATTCACCTTTTTTGTTTGACTTTCCGTGAACATTTTTATCAACACATTGAAATTTGTGGCAAGCCCCGCGATTAATTGATCTCTCTCTTGATTCTCCTTAATTAGGTTGGTCAAGGAGGGAGAACCATATGCAATTCCACCTATGGTATCCTCGGAGTGCCAAGCTTGATTATGTTGTGCCATTTTGTCAAGGATCTGTGTGACCCATGTGAATGTCTTGTCCATAAAAGATCCGTCAGCTGCATTCTTGGATATAGATTGGTTCATCGGATCTAAGCCCATGTAGAATTTTTCCAACAAGATGGAATCCAAAAAACCATGATTGGGAGACCTAACCAAATATAATTTGAACCGATCCCATGCCTCATGTAGATGTTCTCCCGGTACTTGCTTGAAAAAGAAGATTTTATCCCGGAGCTCAGATTTCTTACTTTGCGGGAACCATTTAGCTAGGAATGCTCGGACAAGTTCGGGCCAAGAATGAATAGAGTTTGGTGGCAAATTCTGAAGCCATTTCCTTGCGTCTCCAGCTAGTGAGTACTTGAAACACCTCAACCTTAAGGCATCAGCAGTGACGTTGTTTTGCTTGTGCATCGCACACACACCCAAGAAGTTTCTAAGATGTTGCTTCGGATCATCGTTACTGGAATTCCTGAAAACCCCCTCTGCTTTGAGCATAAGGATTAAACCATGTTCCACCTTGAAAGTTGTTGCGCCAACGGCCGGAGGTACAATAGCATTTGTATCCTCAATGTACTCCTCTATGTCCGCAAAAGGATTTTCTTCCATTTCCGCCTCTATTTCTTCTTCATATTCGGCCATGTTTTCCTATCAACACCAAGAAAAACAAGCTAAGTGTGATGGAATAGAATAAGACGTAAAGTAAAGTACACACTAATTAGTAATTTCAAAACCGTATTCCCCGGCAACGACGCCAAAATTTGATACGCTCAAATTACACTTCAATAAATAGTGTAAGGCGGTCGGTGTCAAATATAGTAACCCAACAAGGTCGGGGTCGAATCCCACAGGAACTAGGTGTGAAAAGGTCACTCAAATAGTGTGTTTCTTGACTAAAGTGGTAATTCTATCCGGTTAATGGTAACAAGAGTATGAATTGAGTTTGGTTTGAAGAAATAACTAATTGTGATATTGAGAATGTAAATAGTTTGATTAAAGAAACCAAGGTTGTGTCCCCATCAATGAAATGTAATGCTATCGGTGTTAATATGATATATTTCTAATGGAATGTTCTTTTGATATGCAAATGATCTCTAAATGACTACCCAATATTTTCCAATAGTTGGGTAGTATTTCCTGTTTATAATTTTTCCAAATATAAAAGAGTTGCAATTAAGAATAATCAATATATGTCAAATAAAACCCATTTATTCCCAAGCGATTCTATTAAACAAGGTTTAAAGCCTTCAGTCTTTGATATTTACTTCTACCAAATTCCAACCCACTTTCCCAAGCAAAGTAAGAATTTAATGGCACTTGTTAATGTTTGCATCCACCAACAATAAATGAAGAATGAGAAGTAAATCAATATCAACCAACCATTATATATATATTCAATGTTAAACACCCATCAACATAACACCCATTTAGAGTCCACAACCTTAGTATTTAAAGTTAGCTACACATACTAAAATACAAAAGGAAGAGAATATTTAATGCCATAAAGCTTACAAAGTGAAAGATTCTTGAACCAAAAGCTTCCAAAAGAAAGGAATATTAAAGCCTTGTATTGTAGATCCCAAAATCAGACAAGATGCCCCCACAAAACCCCAATAAATCTATTTATAGTGGGTCAAAATTCGGGACAAAATTTGGACAAAAATACCCTTTCCGATTAAATATGCGACCGCATATCTGTCGCATAACAGACATGCGGTCCGCATTTTTGACATGGCCATCGCATATTTCAACCCTAGTTTTCAAGCCTTCATCGCATTCTGGTTTGCGGTCCGCATTATAGAAATGCGATCGCATTTTACGTCGCAATTTCTACCTCCAGCAACCTTTATGTTGAGTTTGCGGTCCATTCTGCGGCTCGCATACAGGTTATGCGATCGCAGACTGGACCGCATTTCTTGCGTTGGATTTTGCCCAGAACATTGTTGTGGTTTGCGATTCCAGTGTGCATTCTGCGGCTCGCATGTTGGATTTGCGATCGCATATCCATATTTGCGATGCCTTTTTCTCTTTTCTTTTCTTTTTGTGGCTTTTTGAATTCATTTTCATGCTCTTAATTCCTTAAACCTCATATACTGCAAAAACACTAAAATTACATAAGTATAAAAGATAATTGCATCTAAAACAAGCTAAAATCTAAGCAATTTGTATCAAATGTGCCAAAATTCACCGGCACATCAAAAGTCCTATAGGCATGGTTTCTACCTGCCTTACCCCACAAACATGTAAATACCCGCCCTTTTTACTAGTCACCCCAATATTCATTTACAAATTATTACAGACCATGTGAATGAATTACATGAGAAAAGTAAAAATTACACTATAGAGAGCCTGAAACAGGCCCAGACTTTTCAGCACCTGATTAGGACTTCCTCCCTGAGTTACGTAATAAACCACCTCAAGTGCCAAGATTGTTCCATAGCCTTTTTCATATATGGGTGTGTCAAAGTTCCCTAAGGACCTCAAGGGATCCCGGGCAGTGCTCACACCTAGATTTCATAGCCAAGACAGAGTAAGTGCAGTGTGGAAAGGCCATCTTTTATGTGTCCAAGTTCAGAGGGAGCTCAAGGGTCTCAAGGCAAGGCTCACACAAAAGTGGCAGAACCTAGTCGTCTAAGAGTATATGTGGGAGTGCTTGACATAGATTTAAAAGAGTTGAGTTGGAAACAGTTTTGACAACGATTAGATGGAAATAAGTTTTGGAAAAAACAATAGAAGAGTTTGCCTTAGTGAAAAACAGCTTGAAGAAGAAAAGAAACAGGACAATCAGCAACTCAAAACCAAACATACCTAGTTCAAACACAAACAGGGAAATGAGGAATTGGGGACAAGTAGTTCATATGTGAAAGCATATTTGCACACAGGTTAATACCAGAGAAGTACTACAGAACTTAAATAGTCACAACAATAATCTATCACAGAGTGTTCATGCCAGGAGCTTAACAGTATTAGATTTAAAGAGGTGCTAAACGGAGTTACACATTAGGTTTAGGGGGGAACGGTTCAGGATCACATAGCAAATAGGTGTCATGCTTAGAATGTACTGGGGGTTAGGGGGTTAGGGCAGAATAATAGTAGAAAAAATATAAGAAAGCAGTAGACATGTTGAACTATAGGGAAGGGGTCTATTACACAGAGTTAGTCATGCTACTTAGTGTTAATCAAGTACATTAGGAGTCTATGATGCTAACATGAGCATACTAGTTGAGGGAAATAAATAAGAACTCAAGTAAACATGCTGGCCCAGTATCATACAAGACAAGTGAGACCCAGACATGCTGATTACACACTTGAACAAGAGATGGCAAAACATAAGCATGCTGAATAAAGAAGTAAACAAGAAGAGCGGTTAAATACATAAGCCATTAAACTAGTGCAGAAGGAGACATGGATTAACAGACATGGAGCACATAGAGTTGAGTTTCATATTTGAACTAGGAACATACCAGTTAAGGAAGAAAAATGCAGAAAGTAAAGCAAGTAGAGTTCCATAGTCTAGCCTTGGCTTTCAGCCGGCTAGACAAGCAGATAGCACAAGTAGCAGAGAGAGAGAAGAGAGAATTCTATGTGTGTGTGTGTGTTTTTGAACTAATTGTTCGTGTCTTGAGAGGTAAAACAAGTGTGTGTATATAGCACTTTAGGAGCAGAACCAATAAGGTAAAAGAATCAGAAGCCAGTCAATTAGGGACAATTAAAGAATTACAGAATCAAATCACCTAAAGGGGTTCGGAATAGACCACTTTAATTAGGGGTAATTGATTAACGGTAACAACAGGGGTTTAATTAAGGCAATGAGTCCAAATCATACCCAATAAGGAGTCAGTAAGAATCCTAAAATTATACAGGCAATCAGTTAAGGCAGAGATGACCAATTAAAGTCATAAACAAGGAAATAAATACAATCTATGCACACGAATCTTAATAGAGTAAAGTAATTAGCAAAACCTTCAAAAGAATAGTGATTTCCGGAAAGAATTACTCAAATCCCATAAAAAAGATATTAAACTAAGTAAGACCTCAAGGAAAATATAGAACTTAGCCGGAAAAGTAGGTTCAAACTCTAACAAAGATTAATTAGGACAAAACCACAAAAATACTGGATTTAACAAGGAAAAAAGTTTAAGTCCAAAAGACGGAGTAGACTAACACGACTGGTTCAACAAAGATACCCCAAATCAAAGCACGGATTGAAGGAACCACATAGAATCAACTAGGGTTTCATATTCTCGCACAAATCAGTCACGAAGACGAAAGGATAATTAATCAAACACTTAGAAGTCAGAAAACCCCTTTGAAAAACAACTTGGGATGAACCTAGTTTAGAAGGAGTAATTAAAAATTCGAAATAGTTAGTTAAAACAGGAGGTTTTTGTTTATCGTGAAAATGGTAACAACAATTAAATTTGTAAATGGGATTCTAAAAATAAGTGATCTATTCCCGAGCTAGTTGTTAGAGCAGTTGATGCTAATAATATGGAGTATAAAGATTAAATACGAGCTAAAGCGAGATAATAATCGAACCGAAGGGCCTGCTGCTAGAATACAGGTTTGGTCGATGAGGGACCTCGGGGTGGACGTCTGGGTCGAGCTTGAGCTATCAGGGATAGTTGGGGATGGGATAACAGTTGAAGATATAATTAAACAAGGCTCTTTATGGCCACTATTAAGGTATATGATGAAGAACAAGTAAGAAAGCGATGGATATCGAGGCGACCTCGGGCCAGTGAGAATGAACAAGTTAGAAAGAAAAGAGAGAGAGAGAGAGAGAGATATTATTGCACTTGTGGAGAAATGGAGCAATATCAGTCCCATACAAGGTAGGGTGAGTCCCCTTTATATAGGAGGGGGACTCTACTGCAAGTACGTGGAGATTAATAACAGAGTAGGGAGATGGGATGGCTTGACGCGATGCCTCATCATAGGCTCTGGATAGGCCGGCCTTGTCAGACTTAGCCGTGTGCCTTGGGAGCTTCCCCCTATGTCCTGGCTTTGATCTTCATTTTCTCTGAGTCGGGCCTCGACGAGCCCCGAGGTCGGGACCTTGGTCATGGCTTCCCATCCTCGGGGTCTCGAGGTGTTCTTCCGAAATGACTTGACAGCAAGAAATCAAGTCCTCTGATTTTGCCGCGTACAGATGGTCTCCGCATTTCCTATGGCGAAGTGATGGGAAATGATTCTGAAATTTGACTCCTCGAGCTTCTCTCGGCGAAGACATACCGATGATACGACTCCTGTCGTGAGTTTTGTGGTAACCGGGCATCCACGAGCATGTGTATTTTGACCTCATTCAATGCACTCCCGATTTCCAAGGTGAAGGTACCGTCGTCGGTTCGGTTTTCCATGGATGCATTAACTATGCCCGTCGGTTAATCTTCCAAAGCCTCGACAATCGTGTCATAACCCCCTATAAATGAGGGTGTTTTGGTGTTGTTTTTCCTATCCCAGTGCCTTTGTTGGCTTGCTTGCCTATTCCCTCTTAC